TCTGCGATCTCAGTAATTAACCAAAAGATGGGTACATTTCTTTTCGAAACATATTACGTATTGGAGTGAGTGAGTGAGTGAGTATGGTTTTACGCCGCTTTTAGCAATATTCCAGCAATATCACGGCGGGGGACACCAGAAATGGGCTTCACACATTGTACCCATGTCGGGAATCGAACCCGGGTCTTCGGCGTGACGAGCGAACGCTTTAACCACTAGGCTACCCGACCGCCCCATTACGTATTGGAACTATTGACTTTGGAGTGAATCTTATGTGACCAGAATGTAAAAAAAACACACACCCTTTTATTTCATCGAGGGAAGACCTTAATGGGAGTGAGTGAGTGAGTTAGTGAGTATGGTTTTACGCCGCTTTTAGCAATATTCCAGCAATATCGCGGCGGGGGACACCAGAAATGGGCTTCACACATTGTACCCATGTCGGGAATCGAACCCGGGTCTTCGGCGTGACGAGCGAACGCTTTAACCACTAGGCTACCCGACCGCCCTAATGCCATTCAGAGTGTAATTATGTTCAAATGACTGGTTGCACCGGGTGTCTGTTCTAATGAACGCTTTTATCGTGTTTATTATATATGTGCCGTACTGGACCTGAGCCTTTGCTCTACGTATGGAACGCCTAAAGGTGGGTCATGGTTTAGAAACAATTTATGTATTATTTTGGGTATACAATTTCATTGACAGACGAATAGTGGCCCACTCTTTCACCATCACCACCACCGCCGCCGCCCGATATCTCCACTCAATAATACCACCATCATGCAACACTATCACAACACTAACCCACCACAACCGCACCACCACCCCACATCGTCACCACACGGCCCCACCCCACACCATCACCACACACCACCACCACCCATAAATACCATACCACCACCCATACCATCATCCCATATCAACAATCCACACTACCTCCACACCACGCCACGCCACGCCACGCCACGCCACGCCAAATTATGCAAATCAAATATGTGTTTTCACTTTGTGTCAATATATAGAAACCACATGAGATAAAATTATCAGCTTTTACACCTTACCATGACGTCACTAGAGATACTGGTGGGTTTGCTTTTGTTTCATTTTCAAAAGGAAACAGAGTGTTTAAGATATCTAAACTGCCATTTATTACACGTGAAATTTAATCCGCCACTGTCATCCATTCATACAAATCATCCATGTGTATATGTCAGCCATTAGCACATATCAAACATTTGACAATTCTATTAATACTTTCATGCCTACATATTCCGTCTGACCTGTGAAGATCAGGGTCAGAATAAGTCTTCAGCAACCCATGCAAATCGCAAGAGGCGACTAACTGGATCGGGTGGTAAGGCTATCTGACTTGGTAAGTGCAAGCTATCGAATCCAAATTGCGAGGATCGATGCTCATGATAGCAATCACTGGATTGGATGATCCAGACTCGATTATTTACAGACCGCCGTCATTTACCTGGCATATTGCTGAGTGCGGCGTTAAACAACAAACAAAACAAAACATATTTCGTCCATTGTAAGGCTTTGATAGAGTCAGCAATGCGATCACCTCATGGTCTATTCAGCTCATGTTTCTAATTAAAGTAATAGCACATCGATACGTGGTCCATTCATGCCCTACATCTGTCACGTGGCTCGAGATGAATGAAGCGCCACCTGTGTGTCGGGATTTGAGCCTCGCTGTGAACGCGGTCACTAACCTTGTTCATTTTAGGAACAAAAACACTCTTTCAATAGTTCACGTGATCTCGGGTTTCAACAGACTTACAACGATATGTTAACCCGTCTTGAGATCCACACGGGTGATAGGTCAAATGTACAGTTTGCTCTTCTTCAAATATACCAGGGTGCTGATCCAGATAATCAGAAAGTACCGCGGCTATTACCAGATTTGCAAATCAAATGTCGTCTCTAAAATGCACTAAAGGGATACGTGAAAATTATATCCGCGGTTTCACAATGATGGTCTTTGACTTTATTTGAATTGTCACAAGGGATATAGGTCCTTGGTATCAGTGTTGTTGTTGTTTTTTTTGTAAGCATCTGTGACATTTATGCGACTTGTAGAATGTATACTGTTACGAAAGGTTTCCGCCAAGGTGATCTCTCTTCAGCTGCATTATTCCCGGGAATGCGCGGGCATGATTATGTAGAGAAGATTTTTTTAAATTTTTTTGTTACAAAACGTTTGTTTCAACTTTCAACTTTAACGTAATTGAGGCGAAAGCCTTGTAATTTCTGAGTTCAGCCAGTCGTCCAACCGGAGCCAAATGCCACTATCTATGCTCTTTCTATGACGGATTTGGAATTATAAAATAAACAACTTCAAGAAGAAGGTTAAGAAACGTAACTGTTAACGTTTTGAACAATATTTGATTGGATAGAAAATCCCATATCAGAGAACTTCTCTGAACGTAAAGAAATATTACTGTTCAAGTATTGAACAACCAGCACATCCAAATAAGCTGACGAACCAAGCAACTTTGACCGTGCTACACAAATATACTCTTCAAAAAAGGTAGAGGATACTCGGAAAATAATTTACAATTTCCAAAACTCCAAGATATAAGTTTCTGGTAATAGTTGTATGATGATAATGAACGAATTGGGAAATAAATAAAAAGTAAAAGTTTGCAGCAGTTTAATTCGCCGTTCGAGCTCGAGTTCTGGTTTCGGATGCTTTACTCTTGTCGTTGACTTAGGACGTCCTAAACGGGGCCGAGCGTCATTATTCTTGGGTTTGTTGGAACCTATTCCATAGTCTGCTAATCACAGACAGTGAACCATGAAAGGTATTGACCACTGCACTCTGACTTCTGCCAGTTTCCAGTAAGTCAATAGCCCGTAGACGCTCAGCGCGTTTTTGCAGACGCCTCATAAAATCATTTTGTTTCTTTGTTTCTTTGTTGTTTAACGCCGCACGCAGACATGTTCCAGCTATATGACAGCAGTCTGTACCTTTTCGAGCCTGGACCAGACAATCCAGTGATTGACATCATGAGCATCGATCTACGCAAACATTAACCAAGTCACCGAGCCTGACCACACGATCCCGTTAGTCGCATCTTACGACAAGCATAGTCGCCTCTTACAAGCATGGGTTGCTAAAGACCCATTCTAACAGGGGTGAACGAAATCAAGGAAATCACAACTGCATGATATTAAGCAGAATCAGTAAGATTGACAGAAATTACGGTCCTCAGAGATTAATCGACCCTTCTTGAGAGTGTGAAAATCAGGAATGGCACAATACCACATGTATGGCGCAAACTATAAGATGTGTTTTGGTGTTAATTTTTACAGACAAAAACGTTCTTTATTTTGGTGTTTGTCGTCAACTCTTATCTTTGTTCTAATATTGGTATTAACATGTATGTCATAATTCCCTACTTTTTTATTGATTGCATGTTAACGTACCCTGATGGCGTGGTACGTTGGTCATGAAATAAATCACAGGTTTGTCTGGACCAGAGTGGATTTTTTTACCGGCAGCCATGATAGGAGTTCGAATATTGCTGATTGTGGCATGAAACAACAAACAATAAAATGAAATCTTTTGTATTTTGGCATTTCAGTGTACTGACAACTGATGTCGACACTGGGCTGTACAAATACAACAGTGTAACGTTGTCTTATCTTAACAAGACACCTTTATTCCCTCAGATATGCATCTGGAAAAATGTTAAGCACCGGTTTTTGTATTAACTTTAGGTATCGGTGGTATCTTGTTTCTATCAATGTTCTGTGTATATATGTAAGATAGCTGCGCAATATATCGCAAAGAACAATGAAGTATTTTTATTTCACGATAAAACTTTGTTCTATCATGACGTCATTTCTGGAGATTCGAACATGCTCTCGCAACTGGATGGCGTCGTAAATTGGACGACGGTGTTTTCGAGAGGGAAGTGTCCAGTGAGTTGTTTCTCATAGGTGTAGCTGGGCAACGCAGATGAACACATAGGACAAACGCTATCATTCAAAATATATGACAATCGGTACTGGGAAAAAGGTACACGTGTTCGACGTGAAAACTGAGAATACCTGGGATATAACAAACATAACCCCCCTGTTCATAAAATGGACTTGTCCGTCATGGCCGAAGTCGTGAAGTATTCATTATTTAAATACGTGAAAATACTTTATAAGACTGCAATAAATGTTGATATATAATAAAAGAAATAATAGATGAATGGAAGATCGGGAATTATATGTGAAAGTATACAGGGAAAGTGTTTACTTTCTGTCAACGTGTATAGGTCACATTGCAGAAGCAACCAACACATCTACATGAATCTTCATCGGTATGATAATAACATCCGGAGTCGACCCAAACTATTTTATCAGATTCTTCATCAAAGAGACTGCTTTGTGTTCCCGATGGGCTTCTGATCGCCCACATGACGTTGACAGAAGCTGTATTAAAAATGTTTGTTGGTGTAGGGGTATCACATTTTGTATCGCCTCCGCAGCAGACTGTAGGTGACAAAATGATTAGTTCGCCAAGAAACTGGGTTGTGACGAGGGCCCGAGTTCAATAAACTTTGATGTTTATATAGGGGGAAGTCGAAACAAACTTCACAAACTGGAATCATTTAGTATAAAAAATAGCCACTTATGGCAGTCTGAAGAGGGAAATTGAAAGAAACAAAACCTGAAGTTCAACAACGCCATGTCTCCTGGTGCAGGGAAGTGCTGAGTCGTTTGACACTTATCTAAACAACATGAAAGGGTCATTTCTGTTCATGACTCATGAATAAAATTAATTTCGAAGTTATACACAGTCTCGGTCGCTTTTATGATACAATGAAATATATTAAGGTTCATCAATAAATGAATAATCCGCACAAACTTCGTACAACCGATTTAGATAAGATATTTTATGATAGAAAAATAGTAGGTTTATAAGGGTCAAGACTGGCGCGAGAATGTTATGTGTGGTTTGATAGCCATTTTGACGAGAAGAAAAACATATAATCATGTTCAAATATGGATTTCACCAAATGCTGGCCGAGAAGACCGAGAGGATTGAAGTGAGTCGAATGGGTAGACTGTCTCCAAACTTTCGGAGCTATTATATATGATTAGACATGCAGGCTCTTGAACTGCCTGTGTCATATTCATTATGCAGGTATGCCGATGTAGAATAATTTTAGGACACTGTCTTTGGTGGTCTGGTCTGGTGATGTTAGAGGGGTACGTGAAACCAACTGGTCTCCACGTTGGAATTAAATATGCAGAGATGCGTCACTTAGCCCTGTCAGGATCTCAAATTCGCCATGAATATGACCCATGGTCTGGATCCCCATACTCGTACTCCTGGCTTTCACAAACTTCTACATCAATGGGATAGAACCCACTCACTCACTCACTCACTCACTCACTCACTCACTCACTCACTCACTCACTCACTCACTCACTCACTCACTTGCCCGCTTGTCCACCGATTGTTCTCCTAATGGACATATGTTGAACTTTTATAGGTAGGTTTTACGTCTGGTTTATCGCTACTTCTACACGTCTAAAAAGATGCTATAGGATTAATACCCTATGACCTACCATGCGTGCCGTCCCAACTCAGAGACGTCTTCAGTAGCCCGTGGAAACGTGATCTATGAAGCATCTATAGCCACGCTGATTCACGTGTTTTTTATATACTTATATCTGTTATATGACGCGATGCTATACTCAACCACTGTCAGCTATCACAGCAACCAAACAGCCAGATATGTCTTCCCTACGACCAAAGCGAATCCCAGCGAGCCAACCAGGACGTCTTTAATGGTTAAAACGTGAGCCCTAAACCCTCCCCCGTATAAAAGTTTACTCCATATCCTGTAGAATGTCTGGAGATAAACTTATAGCCATTTGGCAGTGTCTCGAACTCTCATTCCGAGCCACATTAACAGCTGATTAAGTTATTGCCTGAAATATGTTCACGTAGCATTCATTATTCGATACATGCAAAAGTTCATTGTATAATACATGGACGTATCCCTGGTCATAATCAGGGCTACTCTGGACTTCGAACTCACTATCATAGGATCATGGTACCCCAAAGGAGTAAATGGCATCGTGCATAATTTATGAGTCATATCTGTACATGTCATCATTGCGTGAATTTAATAGTTAGACCTATGAGTATTGTGAATTTGTTATCAGACAGAGGTCAGATACAAACGCAACGTTAGCATGGAGTATTTTATACAATCTAAAATGTTTACATTCAAGCACAACATTTGTCAAAATGGCATGGCAACCGTGGAGCCTTTTCAAGAAGCCAGTCAATCTCCACAAGACATAATCTACCCGAGTCATTTACAATTTGAAAAATGTCTTGTCCAACCCAATACCTGACTTGAAGCCACCACGTGTACATTACCAGGACATCCCAGCACCTGACAACAAGATAACACGTGGACATCCCCAAGACATCCCAGCGCCTGACTACAAGATAACACGTGGACATCACCAAGACAACCCAGTACCTGACTCAGAACAACACGTGGACATCACCAAGACATCCCAGCACCTGACTATAAGATAACACGTGGACATCACCAAGACATCCCAGCACCTGACTACAAGACAGCATGAGGACATCACCAAGACATCCCAGTACCTGACTACAAAACAACACGTGGACATCACCAAGACATCCCAGCGCCTGACTACAAGACAACATGCGCACATCACCAAGACATCCCAGTACCTGACTACAAGACAACACGTGAACATCACCAAGACATCCCAGCACCTGACTACAAGACAGCATGTGCACATCACCAAGACATCCCAGCACCTGACTACAAGACAACCCTGTACCTGACTTCAAGACAACAAGTGTACATCACCAAGACAACCCAGCACCTGACTTCAAGACAACATGTGCACATCACCAAGACATCCCAGTACCTGACTACAAGACAACACGTGGACATCACCAAGACATCCCAGCACCTGACTACAAGATAACACGTGGACATCCCCAAGACATCCCAGCGCCTGACTACAAGATAACACGTGGACATCACCAAGACAACCCAGTACCTGACTCAGAACAACACGTGGACATCACCAAGACATCCCAGCACCTGACTATAAGATAACACGTGGACATCACCAAGACATCCCAGCACCTGACTACAAGACAGCATGAGGACATCACCAAGACATCCCAGTACCTGACTACAAAACAACACGTGGACATCACCAAGACATCCCAGCGCCTGACTACAAGACAACATGCGCACATCACCAAGACATCCCAGTACCTGACTACAAGACAACACGTGAACATCACCAAGACATCCCAGCACCTGACTACAAGACAGCATGTGCACATCACCAAGACATCCCAGCACCTGACTACAAGACAACCCTGTACCTGACTTCAAGACAACAAGTGTACATCACCAAGACAACCCAGCACCTGACTTCAAGACAACATGTGCACATCACCAAGACATCCCAGTACCTGACTACAAGACAACACGTGGACATCACCAAGACATCCCAGCACCTGACTACAAGACAACCCAGCACCTGACTTTAAGACAACAAGTGTACATCACCAAGACAACCCAGCACCTGACTTCAAGACAACATGTGCACATCACCAAGACATCCCAGTACCTGACTACAAGACAACACGTGGACATCACCAAGACATCCCAGCACCTGACTACAAGACAACCCAGCACCTGACTTCAAGACAACAAGTGTACATCACCAAGACATCCCAGCGCCTAAAAACAAGACAACATGTGCACATCACCAAGACAACCCAGCACCTGACTACAAGACAACACGTGAACATCACCAAGACATCCCAGCATCTGACTACAAGACAACCCAGCACCTGACTACAAAACAACACGTGTACATCATCAAGACAACCCAGCACCTGACTACAAAACAACACGTGGACATCACCAAGACATCCCAGTACCTGACTACAAGACAACACCTGAACATCACCAAGACATCCCAGCACCTGACTACAAGACAACACGTTGACATCACCAAGACATCCCAGCACCTGACTACAAGACAACACGTGCACATCACCAAGACAACCCAGCAACTGGCTTCAAGACTACACGTCCTCATAGCATCCCAGCGCCTAAAAACAAGACAACATGTGCACATCACCAAGACAACCCAGCACCTGACTACAAGACAACACGTGAACATCACCAAGACATCCCAGCACCTGACTACAAGACAACCCAGCACCTGACTTCAAGACAACAAGTGTACATCACCAAGACAACCCAGCAACTGGCTTCAAGACTACACGTCCTCATAGCATCCTAGCACCTGATTTTAAGAGAATACATCACTATACAATTCCAGCCCTTAACTTCAAGACAACACAATGACACGCCAACACATAACTTCAAGAGAATACATCACCATAAAATGTCAGCACCTGACTTCGGGACAATACATCACCATGACACCCCAACACCTGACTTCATGTCAATACATCACTAGGGCATCCTGGCTGGAGATTTCAGGAGATACTGCTTACGCGATAAGAAACGTCTGGCTCTCTCCTACACAGCTGAACCTTTAAGATGTTGTTGAAATAAAGAGATATATCCGTTTTAATGTTGTTTTCGTTTTTTGCACGAGGGGAAATATTTACCGCTAGCTTTAGGACGGCGACTATCTTGTCGGTGATGCATGGCATGATAGAAACATCTGCTCATCTTTTTCCACGCTAATACAACAGTGGATGAGGAATTGAGGCACCCTACAGAAGCTGCTCCGCCAACTGAATTAAGGGGCTTTCTGGACTACCGACTATGTCGTTGTCGACGGAGATGATGTGAAGATGCGCTGTTTGCGTAACACTGACGGTAATCGGAGATGTTGGTGGCGAACCTGAGGTAGTTTTTTTTGTGTTATGGGTTAATTTTCTTCTGACACGTTTATGGAAAACGTGCTGAGGGTCGGTAAACACCATTTAGTCTCTGCAACATTCAGTATCATGACTCTACAAACACAACAAAGAAGAGTTAGAGGATCTGTTACATGATTTATTTACTCGGGAATTACCTCCTGACTTATAATTTCTTGTATTGGTTTACTTCGTTAAAGGCTTAATTCTTCTTCTTTTCATAATCACAAGGACAGGAAATATGCCGTACATGGGGTATATAACATATATGTGTCTTGTGTGAAATTAGATACCATCGTTGCTGTCTGTATTATGAGTTAATGCGTGAATAGCGCGATGTACGAACTTTTACTTGTTGACTGGGCGTGTGCACCACAAGCTCGAGGCGTTAATTGAAGAGGATCAATTATGACATGACAAGCAGATATCACCCACTATGAAGTCACAATCACCGTACAGGCCGGATGGTTAGCTGGATTTTATTTCGAGTAATGATAAATGTTATTTCAAAAATATATCTTGAGTGAATATGGTGTAATGGTGCTGTGAACAATATTTCAGTTATATCACTGTGTGTCAGCTTGATTTATGGGAGGAAAGACCACAGTAGTCCAGGTTTACCACTTCCCGTAGGTACGGGTATTGCGTTGAAAACCTAGAAACATAATCAGGACGAATCTGGAATTCGATTTCTGGCACCCAAAGAGACGTTACTATGCACAGCGATTTGCGGCGCCTTCAGCGACTGTACCACCCGTACCCGCTGTTCTGATGAAATGAGATCTCTGAGAAACGAATAATGTCTCCTTTAGGATGATCTTTTGTCTGTATTAATATGTTTAACTTTTTTTAAGGCAGGTATTTCTCAAATCTTGTTGATGTCAACTTGAACAAATCAGGGGTTATTGTGTATTCTATTGCGTTACTGAACATATTATCAAGTGATTGAAATTTCGTGAGCAACATTCACCCTTTAAATGTATTGATATTAATATATATACTAACACTGTGTTGACAGATTTACATCAAAGTATAATGATAACTATTTAACTTGAACAAATCGTTCATCTGTAATAAAACGTAAATGCTATGTGGTTAATATTGTGGTGTGTTTGAACAAATTGATAAATACGATCACATGTACGGATTTCCCTCAGTTGTAAGGCGCAGCGACATTAAATTGATATCGCTATAACGAAATTTGACGACGTGCAACGATGTTACTATGAGTGACGTCACTGTTTAAAAAATGCATGTTCCAACTTATTTATACTAATTATAACTGGTAACAATTGTACGTCAGGATGGTGTACAGCCACATGGCCAATCAGTCACGACCGTCATTTTTGGGTAAATCTTAAACTCTTACGTCAATATATTTCTCTTTTCATGTATATACTGATGTGTGTATTTATTATCATATAACACTGATATCATATCGATATCAATATTAGCATGTGCTTAACACCAACGACAGAGATCGGCACTTGATGCGAGCCTTTTATGCGAGTTTTGGTGCAACGATATTGAACCATTTTGTCTTTTGCAAAATGGATTCATGATTGGTTTTTTTCCCTTTTTAATGCACATGCAATCATATTAAGTAGATAGGAGAAACATGCCAGCTGTGTTCATTCAGCAATAAGAATTAGATGGTCGATGGGACTGGGACTGCTAGATGTCATGAAAAAAGTATCACGTGTTATGAAAGCGATATGAAACACAATATTATTGTATGGTTCCTCCTTTCACGGGGAAAGCAAAAACACAACAAATATTCTAGAACTTTCTTATCGTTTTACATGTACGAGGGGTGTTCATTAAAGATTTCCCCTGACCCACTTCCGATGGACCTAGTGGAATGAAACTTGGCATAGGTATTAGTCTTTCTCCACAAAGGAACCACCAAGAGTTACACACTTCTCCCATCGGTTTATGCAACTATGGAGACCTCGCTTGTAAAAGCCCTCATTTTGCGTCTCAAACCAGGACTTGACTTCAGAAATCAGTGTTTCATCATTTCTGAAAGGTTTTCCCTTCAAAAATGACTTCATGGTTGGAAAGAGGTGGAAGTCAGATGGTGCAAGGTCAGGAGAGTAAGAAGGATGTGGAAGGATTTCATAGCCACAGGACCGCGCTTCTGTCTGGGCAACATGAGAGTTGTGTACTGGAGCATTGTCTTGCAGGAGACGGACACCCTTGGTCATCATGCCACGCCTCTTAAGCTTGATAGCGTCCCGCAATTTCCGCAGCAGTGAAGCATAATAAGCTCCTGTAATTGTGGTACCCTTTGCCTAGAAATCCATCATCACTACTCCGTGCTGGTCTCAAAACACCATGAGCATGACCTTGCCTGCAGAGGGTTGGACACGTGCCTTCTTTGGGGGTGGTGACTCCACATGCTTCCATTGCATCGACTGAACTTTAGTCTCAGGATCATAGTGATGGACCCATGTTTCATCCTGTGTGATAGGTCTGTCAAAAAAGTTTGCCTGTTTTTTTTGGCACATGTCCAAAAGATCCTTTGAGCAATTGACTCGTTCCTGCTTTTGGAAAGGTGTGAGCAGCCTGGGAATCCATCGTGCAGACACCTTATGCATGTTCAAATTGTCATGGATGATTTTTTCCACAGACCCTACACTGATCTTGACATCTTGTGCTCACTGGCGAACAGTTATACGTCGGTCTGCCAAAATAGCGGTCTCCACTTGATTGATAGTGTCCTCATCAATGGCTGAATGGGGGCGACCAGGAATGGAAGCTGTTTCCACAGATGTCCGACCACACTTGAACTGGCGATGCCAGTGTTTAACAACGTCATATGATGGGGCATCTTCCCCATAAGTTGCTTTCATTTTATCGAAAGTTTCTTTTGGTGTGCGACCTTTCAAATGTAAAAACCTAATCATTGCTCGGTATTCTACTGGCTCCATTGTCACACCCTACTCGATATTAACACCTGTAAAAAAGTGGTAAGATTAATAGTTCGGTGCTGCAAATTCAGACATAACCCATAGATACATGTATCATTACACATGTGAAATTTCAACCAAATATGATAACTAAAGTGGTTTAGGGGAACTCTTTAATGAACACCCCTCGTATTAAATAGAAAATGTACATTGGCTGTTTTGTAAAGCAATGAAACATGGTTTACCTTAGATAGTTATAGCAATACGCATGGCAATTTCGCCTCTCCTGGCAGGTTGCAGTTCATGTGTTATATTTTTATCCTTGATTAACACCAGTTAACTCAGGTTAGATCTGGTCAACACTGATTGCTTGAAATGTATTAACCTCGGTTGACTCAGGTCACTGAAAACGCACGTCCTGTAGATTGCATTTTTTAATGGTAACATTTTCGCGGACGTGATAGAAGATACTTCCGTTATGGATGTATATGGTCGATTATGCAAAAAGTGACATTAATAAGAAATGTGTTTTCAATGATAGTGTCATTCTACAATTTCAAGTATTAGTTCCAGTAATAGATTAAGCATGTACACGCTAGAGCTGAATAACTTGAGTTCGCCTTAAACGCTAATTTGTCGTGACATTTCCAGCCCAAGGTAATACTTTTCACAGCATGAAGGCATGTGGTTTAAGAAAAATCCTGGTAGATATCATTTAGGTTAGAAGTTATAGTAGACCTTACTCTCGCAGCAAGACATCGTTTTATAGCTAGTCAAAACGTCCAATTGGGCGCCTGTGCAATAAACTCAATGTTACACTACACCACACCACACCACACCACACCACACCACACCACACCACACCACACGCCTTTAATAAAAGAACCAGTTTTTAAATATAATACTGTAAGTCGATGGAGACCTGTATATTGAGATAAGGCATTTCAAATATGTTTTGAGACCACAAAACGTGGGATTTAAAATAGTTTCTGTATGGGAGGCAGAACTGCATCTGTCAATTCTATCAGCAACTCCTTCCCCTTCCCCCTTCCCCTTCCCCTCCATCTCCTCCTCTTTCTACTCCCCAGTATCGGTGTCCTCCCCAAACTATCCCCACAGCTGAGATAGCAATCAGTCGGTGCCCGTTATGAAACGCCAAGTTTGGGACCTCATAAATGCTGATTTTGTAGGTCTGTTAAAACAGTCAGTTTACGCTTCTTTTCAAGTTTTATATAAAATTATATTTTACCAACTGTTCAAAGAGATTCCGGAAAATAGTTCACAAGTGTGCCAACTGTCAACATTAGAGAAATTCCGAACACAGAGCTGCAATCCCCATACAACGAACTCGGTTATCTAGAAATAATGTTTACCTCGAAGGGAGCCAACGAACATGTTGCCGAACCAATCCCTCTGCCTTGA